AAAAAAAAAAAAAAAAAAGAATAGGATACCTTTCCTGTTTCACTTCCTGCTAACATACAATAAGGTTTTTCTACTTTAGTTTGCACATGGGCTGAAAGGTCTCTCCCATGGCCGGGCGCTGTGGCTCACGCCTGTAATCCCAGCACTTTTGGAGGCCAAGGCGGGCGGATCACGAGGTCAGGAGATCCGAGACCATCCTGGCTAACACGGTGAAACCTCGTCTCTATAAAAATACAAAAAATTAGCCAGGTGTGGCGGCGGGCGCTTGTAGTCCCAGCTACTTGGGAGGCTGAGGCAGGAGACTGGCGTGAACCCGGGAAGCTGAGCTTGCAGTGAGCTGAGATGGCGCTACTTCTCTCCAGCCTGGGTGACTAGAGAGATTCTGTCTCAAAAAAAAAAAAAAAAAGAAAGGTCTCTCCCTCCTACTTTGGGGAGCTAGCTCAGGTGTGACTTTGGCCTTGGGGATGGACTATGGGGGGAAGGAACACAGGAAGGTAATGGAGCCATCCCTGCCTCCTCCTCCCCCAAAGCCACCAGCAGAGACTGGATCTTTAAAAAGCAACAGAAGCCTGGGAAGTAGGTCGCCCTGCAGCATCTCAGCCTCTATTCTAGTGTCAAGAGGCAGGAGAGGCTGAAAGCCCAGGCACATCCCTTTACAGTACTTACCCGCTTTGACCTTAGAAAAGTCTGAAGAGGGAGGAGAATGAAATCCAGGTTTTGGTGAGTCACACAGCCCTGGCTTCAAACTATTCTAGAGCCTGTTGACTGTGTGATCTTGGGTAAGTCACTTAGACTTTCTGTACTTCAGGTTCTTCATCTATCAAATAGGGGTAAAATACAGAAGCATCTCTAGAGTCAAGTTCTAAAGTAAGGGCAATATTCATGGAATCTAACCCTGCTATTGTTGAAAACAGCTAGTGCTTCCCAGGGTGAAGAAGTTGGCTTGCGTTTGGGAACTGTGTTAAGTCAGTTAAGTGCTGACCTTTGAACTCGGGGGACAGTGTGATGAGAGGCTCGAGCAGGGAGGCTATTGTAAATTGAGAATGCGTTTGTCTCGCATTTCAGATTCGTGGTTGGACACCAATTCTTCTTTCTTTTTTTTTTTTTTTTTGAGATGGAGTCTCACTCTGTCGCCCAGGCTGGAGTGCAGT